CTTCAGCATTATTGGTTCTTGTGCATCTGCTCCCTCCTAAAATGGATGTTGAATAGTTCTTTATGGCCCAGTGACTTGGTGCATTCATTCCATCTTCTCTTGATGTTTCCTGCAACATTCAATAATTTGTCCATAGAATCTTTCAAGATTGCAACTAGAGGATTGAAGTTTTTTCTTGAGTTATTTCAGTTAAAGTAATGCTGAGCGTGTTCTTCCCTTTTGGTTTTCTAATTCTAGGTCTTTGTACATTGCATTACAATATTTGGCTTTGTCTACTTGGGTTGCACATAGAAACGTTCTATTCAGCTCTTGGAATTCATCATTTCTTCCACTTGCTTTAGCTACTCTACTATTAAGAGCAAGTTTCAGAGTCTCCTCTGACATCCACTTTGATATTTTCTGTCTTTCTTCTCTTTCTAATGACCTTTTATTTTCTTCATGAAAATTGGTCTTGATGTCCTTTTACAGCTCATCAGGTCTCCTGTCATTAGTATTCAATGCATCCAATCTGTTATTGAGACATACTTGAAATTCTGGTGGGACAGACTCAAGTTGGTATTTTGGCTCTCGTGGACTTGTTTTAATTTTCTTCAGCACTAACCTGATCTAATGTATATTCCACAGTCAGCTTCTAACCAGGTTTTAGCTGCTAATATTGAACTTCTCCATAGTCTCTTCCCACTATGTAATCAACTTGATTTCTGTGTATTCCCACTGGAAAAATCCATATTTCTAATGTCCTTTTGTGTTGTTGGACAAAGGCATTTGCTATGAACAAGTTATTTGTCATGCAAAATTCTATCATGCGATCTCCAGTGTATTTCTAGCACCAAGCCCATATTTTCCAACTACTGTTCCTTCCTCTTTGTTTCCCATTTTTGCATTCCAATAGCCAATAATTATTAATGCATCTGTATTGCATCTTTGTTCAATTTCCAACTGAAGCCATTAACATAATTATTTAATTTTGTTATCCCTAAAGTTTACGGCTGGTATATAAATCTGATTAATAGTTGCACTGATTGGATTTTCCTGAAGGCAGATAGATCTAATCCGGTCACAGTATTAACTGGCTTTATTATTTTTTTTATTTGATCATTTTATTGGGGGCTCATACAACTCTTATCACAATCCATCCATCGATTGTGTCATGCACATTTGTACATTTGCTGCCATCATCTTTCTCAAAACATTTGCTTTCTATTTGAGCCCTTGGTATCAACTCCTCATTTTTTTCCTCCCCCCACCTTTTCCCTTATGAACCATTGATAATTTATAAATTATCATTATTTTGTCCTATCTTACACTGTATTATGCCTCCCTTCACCCACTTTTCTGTTGTCCATCACCCAGGGAGGAGGTTATATGTAGATCCT